CAATATTGGACAGCTTATTCCAGTGCATCACCAATATTGGAAAAACATTGGCTATGATAGTCCATTATTGGCCCAGGTAATTCCAATATTGGTAAACGCATGGCTCAGTTGGGCCATTGTTGGGCCATTCTTTGTCCCATCAATTCCAATGTTGGCCCAATATCGTGTGCTGCCTGGGTAGTGAAGCGCCAGCGAGTTGACATGCTCCTTGGCTCAAGAAGCGCTTGCTTAATTTTCGTAATTTTCCTGCAGCCTGTGTTCTTGACCGAGCACACGACGAGCTGTTTCTTGAAACGCGGACAGGCACAAAAGCTCAATTTCGCGGACAGATAACTCGCATGGTCGAGGCATGCGAGTTAGCTAAAAATTACTCACGGTGGAACAATTTTGTAGCCCTCGCCGCTTTCCTTAGATGATCAAAACTAATTAGAGTCTATTACCGTTTCTTCGGAGCCCATAGTTTCGGTTTTGATCGAAGTCTCCGAAACGAAAGTTTGACATGAAAAGAACAAAAAACACCGGCAAAACAAAACTATGCTCGGCAAGTTTATGCGCACCGGCTACACTTAACTGTCTCCGTTCAAATACCCATAAAATTGGGCATTCAATAAAAGAAAATATGTTAAATTGAATGCGCCACCCATTCAGGCGGTGCGGCCGAGCCGACGCGACCTGGACTCAGCTGCCATGTTTGTTTGTCGGTGGCACCCCCTATAGGTCACTGGAGTCGCGAATAAGAAAGGCTCGCTTATAACATTGACTAAAGTTTTTCGAGCCAAGAAAGAAAGGATATTGCGCGAGAGAAATAGAAAATATGCCGGACCGGCCAAGTTCACACTGCTACCCAATAAATGGCGCCAGTGTCCTCTTGTTGTAAGAGATATCAAGAGGTTCCAAGGCACCCGGTTCTAAGAGGTCGCAAGTGTCGGACCGGGCCTTTATGGTTGCGGAAGCTACTCCGAGTGGAAAAGTACCCAACAGCATAGAAATCACGTAAGGAAGTCACCACGCTTTTCAAACGACGTCGCAATGGGTAATCGTTGTGGGTGTCACAATTACAGCTTCGCTGTCCAACCCCCTTCACAGCGTGGACTGGAGCCACAGTTTTTTGCATAAAATGTGGAACTTCTCTAGTATATCCTGTCCCACTGCACCTCGCGCGGCCGCGGCCGGGTAGGTTGATGGTACAGGATGGGACGAATAGGATCTCCCCAGCGACTACCTCCACGGCCCGTTTGCTCGGAGCGCTAACCGCGGCTAAAGCTAGCCGCAGTACCTAGGAGAGGGATTTGGAAATCACGTGACTGGCTCGGTAGGGAAGGGATGCGGGGAAACATGGCGGGGCCCCGGTGGGTGGGCGCCACTCGCTTTGGAACTAATCTGTCGTTGTAGCTGCAGTATCCGGCGCGTTAGTCAGCAACGAATGGTGCAGGAGGCTTTCGCTTTGCCTTACCTCACTTAAATCGCAAAGCAACAGCATTGACCTCGCCGCATTTTTTAGATAGTCTTTCGATTCTGGCTATTCCGAAGCCTAAATGAAAGCGATAATTGTCGGCATGGCAACGTCTTTGGAAAGCGCGTTGCCTTGACTCAATCGGCCGGGTATTGAGCACACAAAAGCAGACAGCGTCCCAATAAATCTCTTTCTAAATTTCCCAGGCACCGAGGAGAACGCTGAAAGTGCAGTTCTACGGTCCGTGTGTGATGGCCTTTCTCTTATAAAAGATTCCAAGTAAATAATCATAAAGCCTGGTTCACATGCAGCGGTTTTGGCCCTAGAGCGGCGCGATTTCTGCCGTCGCGGCGCTCTGGCCAGCATCAGCGGTTGAGCGGCGCCGCTCTAGGGCCAAAATCGCTGCATGTGAAACACGCTTTAGGCTTTGACGAACGCGCGTGCAAGGCGAAATTTGTACATTTTGCTTTAGAACAATTATTACTGCAGACGCCAGCACTTGCAACGCGTGTAACTACACTCGTAGCATGCACGTCAGTGCTTGGGAAATTCAGCAAAAGGTCTATTGGGACGCTGTCTGTTTTTGTGTGCTATCAATACCCGGCCGATTGAGTAAAGGCAATCAACTTTTGAAAGACGTTGCCATGCCGACAATTATCGCGTTCTTTGGGCTTAGGAATGACCAGAATCGAAAGAATCGAAAGAAAATAAATGAGGCGAAGTCATTGCTCATACTTTGCGATTTAAGTGAGGTATGGAAAAGCGAAAGCCTCCTGCACCATTCGTTGCTGACTAACGCGCCCGATATTGCAGCTACAACGACATAATATTTCCAAAGCGAGCGGCGCTCACTCACTGGGGCACAGCCATGTTTCCCTCGCATCCCTACCGAGCCAGTCACATGATTTCAAAATCCTTCTCCTAGGTACTGCGGCTAACTTTAGCCGCGGTTAGCGCTTCGAGCAAACCGGCCCAGGAGTTTATCGGTATTAAGGTATCGACGTTTATGGAAGCAACACTTGAGTGCCTCTTGTGTCGCGGGACAAATTAAGATTGCCCGGTAATGTCACTAACACCAAATCCAGCTGAATAACTATGAATTGAAACAAGCGCGTTTTATTTTGTTTTATCTGACATACGCTTACACACGAATATTATTTATTTATTTATTTTTAACCGGCAACACTGCGAAACTAAACTCTGACTTTCTAAGAATTCAGAATTAAACAAAAATAAACTCCGACAAACTCCGGATTAAAAAAAAAAAAATAAACTCACAATTTTCGTCAAAAAATAAACTCCGAAAAACATCCTCCGAATTGGAGGTGAAATAAACTGCGAAAAAACGAAATCCTAGATGTAATAAAATTGACAAATTAAAAAAAAAAAAAAAAAAAAAAAAATCTTTTGCAGACTTATTTTTTCGACATTCCATAGCAGAGTGCTCGAAGTATCCTGGACGTACACAGCTCTTTTAGAATGTGGGATGACCGCGTGAGATGGCAGCGAGCCAGCTGCCGGCAGACGTAAATAAACGCTTATCCGCCGGACAATCTACTCTGTGCATCGCCCTCACTTTTTGCGGCCTTGATATAAAGGCAGCCTAAGAAGCAAGGAGACGTGCCATGTGGATCGCGTGACTGACGATAACGTATCTGCCATCGCCCTGAACACAAAGAATATGCCATGCAGACATGTTGTGTTCGTCCCCTTCTGTGTTCCTGAGTCTCGGGTTTTATTACCATGACTCATCACCAGCTCGCTTGTTCTTAAGTATTATTGCAGATATGGTTATATCCCGAACATTTCCCGAACCCCATGTTTGACTGGTTTCGCCATCGAAACTTTTTATCTTCAAGTTCGACGATAATTGATCCGTGGACAGTGTCGTCCGACCCCTACGCAACAATATTAAACTTTGGAAAAGAAAACGGTGTTTTACATTGCATAAAATGACGGCAAATCCTTGCGTTTATAGAAATGTCCCCCTCCCTCCCCCCCTATAAAACAACAACAACAAAAAAAAACTATAAATTTTTTTTTCTAACTTTTTATTGAAAAATTAATTTACGCATTGTTGGATGCTCATTCTCCGCCCAAATCAAGCGCTAGCGGTCCGAACGAGATACCAAACTTTCGGCACTAACCGTTATCTTATTAATAAGTTATAAGCGATTTTCTGAAACTTTCATTGATTTTGGAAAAATAAAAAAAGACTGTTTCTGTTTGTTTGTTTCTTTTTTTTTTTTGCTTTTCCCATTTTTGCTTGTTTTCGATAACTGGTGCTCGCTTGCTTTCGATAACTGGTGCCTCCACCCGAGAGTTCCCTCGGCCGCCATCTTCCCATTCAAATAAAAAAAATCGGTGCGAACTTTTGAATAAGATGACGGACAGTTCTGAGACTTCGGCATGTGGTTCGAACCGCCAAGACTAAATTTAGGTGGAGAATAAGCGTTCCGAGGCGCGTATAATTTAGGTTTCCGGTGAAAAATACCCCGCAAATGATTTTTCGGGACAGGCTATGGACACGCTTTAGATGGCTTGGAACGTTTCTCAGTTACGTAGTCGAAAATATTGGTCGGTTACGGCGTCATTTTTTTTGTTTTGTTTTTTGGCAAACGGTGCTAAATTAGCTTCCTACATATATGTATGCCCACTTTCCAACACTGTTAACGCGAACTCGGCATCGGTGCTTTTTTACGTGCGAAAGTAATGAAGAGCATCTCGAAAATCAAAGGAGATGTCAATAACTATGCACTAACACTAGAGGAGCAGTACCTACGTAATGTCAAGTTTGCTCTAGAGTTCAAAACGCATATGTGTTTGCTCGGAAACTTTTAAAATGGGAAAAGCCAGAAAACACTTACCGCCCGAATAATTCAGCCCACAAATAAAAGGAAAAACACATTGTATAGTGCGTGCATTTCCGCTGTTTCACGTGTTTTGACCCCTCGTAAAAGGGGTCTTTAGTGACCTATATCTCTTGCAGATTTTCTATATTAGCGTCATCGGTGTGCTGGCGCTCCTTAAACAAGGGCCGCATTATCTTATTTCTGGTTAGATTCGCCGCTTGGCTTGACACACTTGATGTAAAATATATAGGACTGGGTCCTAAATAATGAGAACATAAGCATCGCTCAATGATCGAAAAACATACTGTAATTAATTCAATTTCACATTCATAATGTTAAGAGGTTGCCTATACTCTTCGCTACAACCCAAGTAATAAATGTAGTTCATCTTATTAACCGACAAGAAGACAAAATCCAAACGCGTTTTCCCATAGGAATGCACAGAAGCGCCGCAAAGGTGGGGCTGGTTGCTGTCACGAACAATTTGATGCCGGAAGTCCCATGATACTAGCGCCAGTTGAGCCTCTAGCCTGCATTATAATAACTCTATGCATCGCCACTCCGATCCGTGTTAGGGAAGGATGTCGAACTTCGCAAGTTTACACGCCGAATCCACAACCAAATGCGAAAACTGACACCAAACCTTGACCATCCCCCCCACAAAAAAAAACAAAAAAAAATACAGACTCACGTACCTTTTTGGAGACACAAACGAAAGACAATTACCCCCTTCGCCGCAACGCGTGTGGCGATCCAAGCTTGAAGTGTGAAAGTGCGTCCAGCTGCAGCCCTGAGCAAGGCGTTTTTCTCTCGCTTCCCGTGCTTCGTTTCACCCTTACTATGGACCCCGGCGGAAAGCTACGAGCCATTCCAGCCAATGAAGTGCAGTGAACGTGTGACGTGATTACGCATCCCGGGTGTCGCTGCGTCACTCTCAAAGGTCGCGTGACGGTCCCACTGCATTAGACTGAACATTGTTGTCTCGTAGCATCCGCTGCGATTTATCCTAGTGCGAAACGAAGCAAAAGAGTTTGCGAGAGCGGTTGGAGAGGGAATCCGGACCGGCTTGAGTTCGCTCGAGGACAGCAGGAGGCAAACAAACGCGATAACGGTCGTTGTCGGCGCCATCTTGTGTCCTGGTAAGAAACTACACGACGAAGGGACTGAGCGCGCGAAGATCTAAACGAACCTCGCCCGACGGCCTTCGCATTTTACGTTTAAAGCCAGTATAGTTGCGGGCTTGCTTCCTATAAAGTCGTCGTGGCGGAGCAATTTGTCCTCTAAGTTTAAGAGGAAAATTTCTCCGTTAGACGTGGCGGCGTCACGTGACCTTGTACCGTCGCCAACGTATATTACCTCAGTTGTGAAAGCCCTGCTGAGGGAAGTGGCCTCTTCACTTCCTTCAGTCCGTCTCCCGTAAAGGCCCTCGATGTGTTTGCGTTTCTCTTGCAAGTCAAATGCGCCAGTGCAGGAGACCCTTGTGTCGAGCGACCCTTTGGAGCAAATTGCGGCGCAGCACTGAAATTAGAGGCCCTTGAATGAGAATAGCGACGGAGCACCCGCTCATGGCACGGGGTCCATATCACAAGAGCGAATGACATTTTAGCGAACGGCGACATTTGAGCGAATGGTCGTTTTAGCGAATAACGGGGGCGCGCGTTAATCCATCCGTCGCGCTGCGCTTTACGCCGCTTCGCGGCGACAGTCTGCGGCAGCTCATTACAAAAATATGAACTCACTTGGCCCACCCGAAAACGCCGCTTCGCGGCGTCCGACTATTCGCTAAAGTGTCATTCGATGAAACGTGGGCGTTCGCTAAAACGTCATTCGATCAAGTGAGTGCCTCCCCATGGCACGTGTCTTGCGCGTTTCGTTTCCACAACAATGCTTAGCACTACCTTAAAGGGGGCCTGCGATCCTATCTAAGCGTCTGTCTTTTTTGGGGATTCCACATCTCTTGTGGTTCGGGCAACCTTGCAGGCACGGAGTGAGTCACTAAATATCAGTGCGTCATATTATAACCGGAAGATGTGGAAACATCCTCCTTTTGCGCGGACGCCCCGTGTTGCCGAACGGGTGCGGCATGTGATGAAATCGTGACGTTGTCGGTTCCGTTCGCCTCCTGCCTTACGACCGGCCAAAACCGCTAAAAAGCTTCTTTTCTTCTTTCTTGTTTTTTGTTGAAATACAAAATGTTAGTGGCGCGGATCGTTTCAATTATTTACGAAAGTAGTTCTTGTTGAGTATTTTAGATGATGAAAGAAACGAATGCAGTTTAGAAAGTACGAAAAAAAGAAACAACACGCGATGACCCGACCACATACCCCCCCCCCCCCCCCCCCCCCCTTCCAAGCGGTGGAAAAGGCGGCGCAGGCGCCCCCGCGCAGGATTCCGAAGCCCGCCTGCTTGAGGATCTCGGAGGCCATGCGCCGCGGATCCTACCAGACGACGCACGACGCCGGCAGCACATTTTCCAAGAAGCGAATGTACGAATATGTCTCCTCGCGAGACCACGGGAGGCTCGCCCGAACTTGCATAGAACTTGAGCGCCGTCAAGTTGTGGTCGAGAGGCTTCGCCAGCGCGATCTGGGCGCTTACGAGGAGTGTCCTCCTGCGCTATACTTAAAGCTCCGCACTTCTATCGAGGATTCTGAGCACCAACTCCGAGAGACCCGGTAAATTCATGCCGGCTTTCGACGTGGTGGGCTGAAGTAAACAACGAGCCGTCGACGCGCATGAGGCTGCAGGGGAAGCGGTTATCAGAGCAAGCCGCAGCCGGTTCGCCAGTAGCTTCGCTTCTACCAATGTCCACCCAAGCCAGGACCAGGGACGTCATGAAGAAGGTTTTTTCTGTCTTGTTTTTGTGATGGCTTACGAGAGCGCTTTCATCAGTGTCACGAGCTTGCTGCATTGAAATCTAGGAGAATGGGCAGGTTTGTTCCTCGTAAAAAATGTTTAGGGCTCTTTATACTTGCAGTGTAAGCTGCCGCGCTAAGTCAAACGGCGATCCCTGAGAAATTCCTGTTGTTTTTGTATAAAAGAGAACAATGTGGAGGAAACTCTGATATGGTATGTTTAAGCTGGTATGCTGCCTAGAGCTGTACGCAAAAGTGTAGTTCATTAAGGCGTGTGCTGAGGAATACCTGTTCGTGTGGGGCCGCCCTATCATTTTATTCATGCAGAGTGACCAAGGCATGATTCGATCGGCTGTTGAGCCTTGTGTTTCATCGAGTCCTCCACGCACCAACGCAGAGGAGGCTAATCTCCCATGAAGAAAGGCTCTCGGTTACGTTGATGTAAATGCGGTCTGTTCGCCTTTTAAATAAAATCTTTAATTTTGCGAAACTTTATATATCTTTTCATACCTTATACTAATCACTGTTCATTCCTTTGCAAATAAATTTGAGCGGATACAAAAAGGCCTCCCACAAGCTGTGCTCCGTTTGTAAATGTACTACATTCACATTCAACAGCACGGAAGAAAAATATTTTACAGCTTCACTGGCTTCGCAACACTTCTTAAATCTGTTTTCAATAGAGTGTTACAAAACATGCCGCACTTTTGTTACAAAATCTTCCATCTGAAAAGAACGTCAGATTGTGGTTAATATGTGGATATTACTTTTCGTAGATTTCTGGCTGCCGGAGAGTCATGGCAGGATTTGGCCATGAGCTACCGAATGCACTCTTCGACAGTCTCAGGGATTCTGAGAGGGACCTTGCCGGCCATCTGGGACTGCCTGCCTCCTGTTGTACTGAAAAAGCAACCGTCCCAAAGTGGGAAACGATACGATAGGAGTATTGTGCCAAGTGGAATTTCCCGAAAGTCATCGGGAGCATTGACGGGAAGCACTTTTCTATCAAGTGCCTAGACAACGGTGGGTCAGATTTTTATAATTATAAAGCATTTTATACCGTGCTCCTGCTCACTGTCGCAGACGCTAGCTACACGTTTACTGTAGTCGATGTAGGGGCACAGGGTCGAATCCCAGATGCCTCGTTCTTCCGGGAAGGTGCCATCAGGTGTCACTTTAAAGCAAACACTCTCGGGCTGCCCTTTGGTGTGTCGCCGGCGACGCCGCTTTTCCATTGAGAACGTACTTAAAGCTTCCGTACCCTGAAAAAAAATCTGGATGACAACAAAAAAGTGTTCAATTACCGTCTTTCCAGGGCGCGCCGATGCGTTGATAAAGCTTCTTGCATTTTAGTCTCCAGGTTTCGTTCTTTCCTTGGAAAAATAGAAGGTGAAGTCGGAGCTTGTCACTCACACGATAAAGGTAGCTGTCTGTCTTTAAAACTTTCTTATGGCTGACAACTTCTTATACTGCCCTAATGATTACAGTGACAGGTCACAGGGGTGGACAGTGCAGAAAGGTCGGTGGAGGCAGACTGTAGCGCCAAGTGGCACTTGCAATGCAGTGACCTGCAAGCACCCTGCTCAAGCAGCCATAGATACGAGGGATGAGATCTCAGACTATGTCATGCCTGCAGAAGGCTCTCTGCCACGGCAGCTAAACGTTGTCAGAAGTTGCTAATACATGACTCGTTGTTACCATTTTTTTTCTCGCAAACATAGCGTAAGACAATTTTCCGGTTCCCTCCTCTAAACTGCTCTTTTTTGGCATATTTCACTGCACGTGTTAGTCTCGTTAACTATTTGAGAGCCACTTGCGCGTGTAAAAGTTGTTTGCGTGGCTACTTGTGTCAGTCTCATTTTGTGTGCTGGAGGTCTATATTCTTGAGCCTGATTCGTTTATTGGTCTCCAAGTTTTTTTTTTTTTTTCTGCTGCAGAGATTAAGCGGTGAAAGACATTCCGTGTCAGCCATTTTTCTTGGAATTAAAATGGGGGCGCTACATTACTTCTATGTGACGTTCTTTCTGTCCTTAAAGAACAAAGAACCCATAAAAACGCCATTCTTTCTGCCTGGATACGACAGGCATGTCACAAAATAAATGGTCGTCGGAAAAATATTTTTTGCCCCTATTTATGCCGCAAGAGGCAATTGTTGTCTGTGCGAGCTCTACCGCAACTATTCTATTAGAACGATGATTAGGAGTGTACTCTCTATCCGGCCATTACTCCGAAGCGTCTCTTTTTTTTCCCGCGCTCCGAGAAGACGTGAGACAAAAGAGCTGAGTCGGAAATCGAGTACAATCCTAATCACCCTTATTATAATATTCTATAATTTTGGCATCGCAATTAATACAAGAATTAGCTATATCAACGTTAATAATGGGCGCGAAGTTATTTTTTTTCTTTTGACGAGAATTAATTTTATTTACATGCCGGTCCTATTCGGGCATTAAAATAGTGTTTTTTGTACGTTCAGTGACCTGAAATATCTTCTTTTTTTTTTTTTTCTAGCTAGTCATTGCTTTGATGCCCGCCGTTTGAAGTTCAAGTCTCTGATATATTTGCCGGCTTTTGGTTCGTGGGCCTGACACCGAGTCTGCACAAACATTTGATCATTTTTGTTACCTTCGATAGTATCACTATCACAAGAGCTTGCGAAAGATAGTTATATATATATGCGAATAATATTATCACTCTGTGTTATCTGTGATGATTTTTCTAAGAACTATTTCGCATTGTATTGTGTGTAGTATTATCCAGTGCTCTGAGGCATTTCTGGCAAAAAGGTGAGTTTTCACTTCAGTTTTGGTGCTATTCAGCCGGAGCCGCACTGTTCATACATCATCCAAAAGCCAGTCTGCAAACACGAGTTATCGCAGTATCTGCGGTTCGAATTCCGTGTGCCGAGCTCCTTGGACTCATTGCCATGCGGAATTTGAAGCACGCGTGAGTCTAGTGGGATTAAAAGTCAATGACCCGGTGCTATTATAGTAGTGTTTCCACTTTTTTGGCACAAGGTGTTGGGGCGCTAAAAATGTAACGCAAATATTATTTAAATTTTTTTTATAATTTGGTTATAAAATTATTTTATCACATGAGTCACATACGTCATTGCATTTCTGTGGAAAGTAGAATCATAAATAATTTTTAAAAAAACGCAGCAGCCTTCTGCTTTATTGTAAAAACACACAGTAATGGAAGTAAGTGCAGCATTTTTTTATTAATTAGTTGTCACCTTTTGCAATTACCTCTATTATTCGGGCCTGTCACTTTGCTGCTGCAAGCCTGGACAATCTTTCCAGGCACACACCAATGCGGCAAAGGCGTCAGTTTCCGTCTCTCTTTGTCCAGCTGGCAGAGCAGCTGTTGCTCAAATGCGTCACTTGTTTACCCCTTGTCGGTGCGTTTGACGACACTGTCGCACGCGGAGCGGGCTCATCACCATAAGTATTATTTAGCTGTGATTGGCCCCCTTCCATCTGCTCCAAATCGATGCCATTGTTGTCCTCAGAAGGCGGTGAGCCACTCTCTATCAAATGAAAGAGGTCCTTTGCCGCGACATTACCGTCCGCGTCCATGGCTAGTGCTGTCTTGTCCAGGTTGCACGCCGTTCTACAGGAACAGAAACATGCTCCACATAGCAGGCAAAACGGTTTTCACATAAAAAAAGTGTTTCAAACATCTTTCATTTTATTATATTAGCATAACATTCTTGAACATTTTCATCAGGTTAGTGTAACATTTATATCAGAATCACTGCGAAATAACAGCTACACTATAAGTTTATAAACTACACCTGAGGCATTACTGCAAAACATACTGCCATATGCTTCCATCGGGGGACATGCAAACCACCAGAAAGGTTCGCGTGTGTCCAATTGATAGGGGAAAACACATAGATAGCTTTAAGTGTGTTCATAAATTAACATCACGAGGCTACAAATTATTCTGCACAGCGTGCCAAGCTTGCTTCAAGCCATGGGAACTATTTTCACAATCGTTTTGTTAGATATTTTGGTTGTGTGGGGCGATGCCGGGTGAACATATGAAGAAGGCAATGAAGGAGGGCCTTTTTTATATTCATCTTCGTTACACACTCAAAACAAAACTCTCAGTAGTGCTGGAGAGCTCGCTCACTAAAAAGCCTGCCTGTCTCAGTCACGTTGCACACAGGCGCGGCAACGTGCAACGCAAATGCATGGCATCTCTCGCCGGGCCAATATATGAATTCCCGTGAACATGACTGTGATCATAATGTGTAACTAAAGTTATACATTTTGTGTCTGTTTCAACGCTTACGTTCCTTAAACCATGGCTTGACAACGTGTCAAAGGCTCACTTTGTAGAACGGTTGCAGTCTTTTATAAAATTATATGGCCTGCAAGAATTCCCACGTTTGCTGGCGACGAACCCACTGCCGCTTCGCTTCGTGAGTTCCTGGGCCCTTGTTTCGCGCGTGTAGTGGTCAAGCAACCTCTTTCACAGTTTCTGGCAGTCTCCGACTAAAAATCGAAACACCGTCTAGTTTAGGGCGATGTGTCAAATGCTCCACTAAGGTGCGAAAGCACTGTCGGTGCACGTCCAAGCCGGACTCGCTCGTCGTCTGCCCGTCGCCACTTACGCGCAAGCTTTTCCTCGTCTCTACACCTTTCTTTTTTCTTGGGGGGGGGGGGGGGGGCACATTACATCGTTTCAATCTATATAAATACAAATGGATCGCGCAAAGCCACTGCCCGCGCTCACCCTGCCCTCAGCTACCATGAGGCATTATCCCTAACCAAGAAACTCCGTTGCACCTCTTTGCCCTTGTCTCGTTTTATCCGGCCACGACCGCCATGACAACTATAGTAAGTCAGGGGAGGGTTTTCAATGCTTCCCTTTTAAAACAAATTACAAAACATGATCGCGCCTGCTGCAGGAGCGGAACACTGCACCGCGATAAGCACAGACGAGATGTGCAGAGCAACGGAATAGCTCAGCTGGGGGGAGACAGCAACGCTCACGGATGGCCTCCCAAGCATTCCCTTTCCTGTCCCTGTCACGGTACTCAAGCTTCCTCGTGTCGTAGACACACGGCTAAAAATGAATTCCCTCAATCAGCTAGCTTCTCGACGACCCAGTCCAAAATTTCAAGCGTGACGCCATACACGGAGTTCTGCACCCGTCGTCTGCTATGCGGACCGTAAGCTCGTCTGCTTCTTTTGAATGGTTGTGGTGACGTCAGAGCGCCGAACTCTTATTGGTTTGCTTGCTTTGAGGTCTACCCGCTATCCTTCAGTCACAGCCAATCAGAGCTCGTCGTCTTTCTGACGTCACTGCAACTCTTGCGCAAAAAGCAGACGACTAGTTCTCCGGACTGCTCGTATTCGCCGCGCTTCTCGCGCGAGGGCTGCCGGGAGCCAGCGCGTGATGCATCCTGGTCCGGCCCCTACGTCGCGGAATTCGGCATCATGTTCATTTTGGCGTCTAGGTGGTCAGGCAGCGTCGAACGCCGCCGGTCGCGCCGATTACATTCATCACTCGTTCAGCCACGTGATGTGCGAGTTTATCCGCGCCGACCTTGTTTACGTGTCTTGTCTGTTGCCTCTGGAGTTGGCTCCGCTCCACCGTCAGAGCTTGCCGCCTCGCTGCCGGCTCGAGATACAACGCCACGGAAGTGTGGTGTCTGCGATTTAAACAGATCGTGAACGCTCCGGTTATACCCAGGGTGCAGTGAAGAGGAACGTTGAAGAAACGGTAAGCTAGCGATTGGCTTTCAGCGATATATTTCTGTCGAAAAAATCTAAGGCGCAAAACAAAAGCTAAAAAAGGCAAGAAGTCTTGCGACTGAAAAAGAGAAATAAGATCGCACTATTCAGGGTGCTTCGGCTACTTTGCGTCAAGACTTAGAAAAAGCTGGTGTACGCCACAGGTGTCGACTCATAACAGTAATTTTCACATTCCCGTTGTGAGCGAGTCAATTTACTTTTTTTGATGTGCGAACTGGCTAATTATTACAAAATAATTAGCTAACTTTTTTAGTATTAAATTGTGCGACCAACCCTTTAATACAAAAGTGGCGGAGTCTGTGGAGAAACATCCCATCGTGTGGATTCTATGAAGGTAGACTTTGGGTGTCTCATTGCTTAGGACTTTAAAAAAAATCTTTAAAATTGACAAACTCTCGCTGCATTTTACCTTTTGGCTTCATTCTTGGTTGGTAGATGCAAGAACCCCGTGGCTGTGTGTATCTTTATTCTGCACAGTAATTATGGAATGCGTTATATTTTGTTTTATAATCTGATGTAATTATTATTATTATCATTATTATTATTTATCATCATCAAGAAGTCCCCAGGAAGCGTCGCCCCTTTTTACTGCTCTGCGAGTTTTCACTCGTAATCGCTTTCGATCGGAACATCCGACGCCAACGAGCTTTTTGTGACTCGGACGATTCCTCTGCGCTGTGGTGGGAACTGACTTTGCTCAAGATCGGGTCCCCAACGTCTTCACTGACAGCATTCCACCGGGTAGGCCTAAGTGACTTTGCCTCTTCGGCCGGCTCGGCTAACGCCCGTTGTGCGCGAGCTTGCCTGGCACGACGATCTCCACAGTGAGCAAAGCATCTCGCGCAAGCCTGCCCAACACATCAAGGCGACGCACGTGACCACGGGGGTACAGCACTTCACATCTTTCCCTCCTGCGCGTGTGCCATGTCTTCTCCACTCAAGTGCGCTCAATGCCACGAGAAGATAGAGTGCCTTCATACACACGCGCGCTTTTGCTTGAGTGGTGACATCTCAGCCATTTTTCCGCCCAATCGTTTTTTATGCATTTTGAAGTGCACGCAATACGGTGTCACTCAGCTCGAGCGCGTAGCTTTGGCTAATGCATAGACGCCATTTTACAGCCCAAGTCTAGCACCGAGTGCGCGAGAGCGTCACGCGCTGTCACATTCGGGTCAACAATGGATGTCTTCACCCTGAGACAGACAGACATGCAGGCACCCTACGAGAAGATTGTGAACGATGGTCGGCACATGTCCCGCGCCGAGTGTAGAACATCGTATCATCTAGGGAATCTTTGCTCCGGTGTTGCGGAAAGTACATTCGATGCCATGGGTGTTGGAAAACGAGAGGTCTGGCGCTGCCGTGTGTGCCGACAACGACATAGCGGGAATGAGTCTCGAAGTGAAGCCAGCTCGTCACAGTGCGCGTCTCCTGCTGGTACGGAACATCTTCGGTCGCTGGAAGCTAAACTGGAGTGTCTCACCTTGCTGAAGGCCAATGTTGACACCCTCCTCGACTTACCAACTCAGATGAATCAACTCCTGACATTGAAGCCGGTAGTCGAGAGCCTGAAATCCGCAGTAACGGAGGTTCAGAAGGACGTAGACTTTCTGTCGGCTCGGTACGACTCTCTGCTGTTTACAGCCACTACCAACTCAACCGCGACAACAGAGCTCCGTAAGGAAACGACATTGCTAAGAAGCGTGGTGACAGAGCAGTCTCAGACCATTGAGCACCTGAAAGAAGAGCTGAACGATACCAGTTGTCTCTCAAACCTTGAGATACATGGACTCCCTCATGCCCCAAGTGAAAACTTAGTCTCCGTTGTGGGCGAGTTGGCTGGCAAGCAAGGCCTCGAAAACTTTCAGCCAAGGGACATACTGGCGGTGCATCGTCTGCCATCTCGGCGCGACGGCCCTCCAGTTATCTTGGTTAAATTGGCTTCAGTGTCGCTAAGAGAACAATGGCTCGCCACACGAGGTAAGCTGAGGACTCTGGCTGCAGAGGGTTCGTTGCCCAAACTCTTCCTCAACGAGAACCTAACGCGAAAGAACAGGGAACTCTTTTGGATGGTACGGGAGAAAGCAAGATTCAAGCAGTACCAATTCACTAGGGTGAAAAATAAGAAGCCATTTGCAAAAAAGTTAGGAACCTCGTCACTGGTTCGCATCCACCGGTTGGCCGACCTGGAATTGATTGTGTAACTCTTTTTGTTTCTAAACGGCTTAAAAATACCAGTGGATAACAACTGCGTCGAATAATGGAAGTACAGTTTCGTCAATGTTCAGATTTTTCTTCATTTCAACGTTTCTCGGAACCAGCTAGTGATAGTACTCTTGGGTTTTTACATGTAAATATTCGAAGTATTCGTAAATATTGGAACCAGCTTGTAATAACTGTAAACAATATGTCACCACTGTTTGATGTTTTTGTGCTAACAGAGATCAATGTTAAAGACGATTTCTGTGGGGAGTTCCGGATACCGGGATATAAATCATTCTTTCTTACACGGCCGATTGGACGAGGAGGAGGAATTGCGATATTTGCTAAGGACTTGTGGTGCAGGGTTGCGGAGTTGCCGCTCCGGAGTTGTAATGATTCCGGAATCATTCCGAATTTTCGCGAACCCGGAATGGAATGGGAATGGAATGGCGGAAACGTTGAGGGGAATAGAATGGGAATGGAATTAAATGTCTTTTGCCCGGAATGGAATGGGAATGGAATGGGCCCGGTTCTTCTATATGTATATTTTTTGTTTTAGTGTTTACGGTCAGTGAACTTGTGCCAGTCAGCGAGCCAGTTTCTCAGAAATAAAATGAGGGGGCGGAAAACAGCTAACCCGCTTGGAGCTCTAACAGACTTATGCGCAAAAAATGCAATACAAAAAAAAAAGCGTCAAAGCAAAGAGCAGAAAGGGAGGGAGGGGGAGGGGGAGGGGGGTGGGGCTGGCGGTGGCGCCTTTCGCGCAGGCGACGGGGTTTACTGGCGTTACACGAGAGCGAGCGAAACAAGAAACCAAGCACCAAGCAAAAGTAACGAAGGCATGGAGAATACACGCGCGCACAGACGGAGACCTGGGAGCGGGGGACGACTCATACCTCGCAGAGCTCTGATATCTCGTTGACTCGCGCGCCGCCGAAAGATGATCAGTTATTGTTTTCTTATAGTTCGAGGAGCGTTGTTTAGCAGGCGGCCTGTTGCCTTCCACGTTCATTCGCGCGCACTCGTTTGAAGTGCGAAATCTAGGTTTGCTTCGGCATTAAAACAAAGCGAGATTCACTTTCCTCTTCCTTTGCACTTTGCTCCGACGCTTGTCTTTTTATACTGCATTTTTACGTGTAGGTCCGCCTTTTACTTGGTCTTTGTTCCGATGCTTGTTTTCTGTGTTATATGTTTTACATTCAAGTGGGTTAGGGTTACAAGCAAGCTACCGGATTCCCGCTCATTTCCTTTCACTTTAGTCTCTGCTTACTGTGTTTCACCTTGTGATGGACCGCTGCGTACGCTACGAGTCACCCTAGGCAATCCAGCACCGTGAGGGGGACTACACGCACGGCGCGTTGCTGTGCCCCAGGGTCATGCGACACCTGCGACACTAAGAACAGAAGGCACTGGATTGGTTTCGATGGCTCTCTTGCTGTCTGTTGCGGTCCATCGTGAGGTGAAGTAGATTGTCGCCACCGCTCTTGTCGCGTGACCGAACTGACTAGACCTGCACAAAGACAGTTTCGTGACATAGTACATACAGTCTCTCGTGCTGCGCCGTAGAGGTTGCACTTTGTCAGAGGATGTGTTCTTGCCACTGTACATGGAGTCGCCTCCAGCAGCGTACTAGCCGTATTGCTGTGCAGGTATTTGAAGAATACAGTAATATAGCTTATTTCTGCGCCACGCACGAACTGGATATGTTTATGGTCTTATCAAACAAACACGTTGGCGGCGTATGTCCTAGAGGACAAATGCAAAAAAGTTAGTGGATTTAAGTTTTGCTGTTTGTTGCGGGCCACGTGGTCGAAAGACCAATGTTTTAAACAAGCATCGTCATATCAAGGGGCTTTCTCAATGTTTCCAGTACAGTGTAAACAAACACTTTCTGCCACCAGCGCCCCGCTTAGTAAAATCAGTGCTTTTTTTTTTAGGCATTTCGCATTTTTTTGCAATTGTCTATCCGTTGGATAATGTCAGCTTTATGGTGCTTATGCCGGCAACACAATGTAGCTATCAAGTTCCAATTTTTATGTTTAGGAATCAGAGGAATGGAATTGAACGATTCAGTCATTCCAGGAGTGAGAATGGGTCCGGTGTCCCCATTCCTAGGAGTTGAAAGGAATTGAATTATCGCAAACTCTGGTTCCCCGGAATGGAATCGGAATGGAATGGGGGTGCCCATTCCGCAACACTGTTGTGGTGTACTGAAACACTTGATGTAGGGTTTTGCCATTGCGAGTCTTTCTCTATGAGGCTATGGAATGATAGGTGGTCCTTGATTTTATTAGCTTTTTACAGACCTCCTTCAGTTAATCCTTTAAGATTTTTAGAATAACTAAAAAATACACTTGGCAATTTTCAGTCTCTCGACATCTGTTTAGTAGGTGATTTCAACATTGATACGCTTCAACCCGCCAAGTCTATTGTACGTGACTATCTGAATCTTTCAGCGCATTTTGGTCTGGAGGACCTGATTTTAGCTCCAACTCGAGAAGAACTCTTGGATAATCACCTTGTGGCCTCGTGTCTGGATAATATAAGCATACGCGCTCCGAATGTTGTTGCAAAATCGGCCGTAATAGAGCAAAAATTAGCCGACCACTACTTTGTGGCGTGTCAAGTTGCATCCCAACTCACGATGAAATCAACAATAGCGATAACAAAAACACTGGAAATAACTGATAAAATTAGATTTTATAACTTGGTTAAAACCTATGATTGGAATAGTTTACTCTCTATTCAAGACTTTGATGAAGTGTACTGTAGGTTTAGAGATATATTTGACTACTTCAAGGACAAATCTAAAAAGGTTGTCACTCCGAGGCGGCGTCGTAGCGAACAAGAATGGTTAACGAGTGACATTTTGTCAGCTATCCGCTGTAAAGATGTTCTTTGGGCTAGATGTCGGCCATCTCCGACCAATACAAACTTGAAAAAAGAATTCCGTAGTATGCGAAACCGTGTAACCGCGCTTATTCGATCAGCAAAAAGAAAATACTTTCGAGATACATTTTTTAAAGCAAGGTCAAATATTTCAATGACTTGGAGTTTGATAAATCAATTACGAGGCACGGGTGTAAAGAGATCGATAGATGCCTCCCTAGAGAAAGTGTTTGGTAACAATACAACAAAACTAGTAGAGGATTTCAATAAGTTTTTCGCTACATTTTCTGGGGTAGCTCGGGATGATACTATGTTCACAGCAGATTTTCTTGATTCAAATGTTTCCTCGGCATTCCTTCCCGAAATGTTCGAACTTGATCTACGCACTTAGCTTTTTAGTTTCAAAACTAACAAGGCGCCCGGTATCGATGGTGTCAGTGCAAATGATCTGCGCCGAAATTATGATTCTATAAAACTTGTGCTCCTTCAGATGTTAAATTGTTTCATTTCCTCCGGGATGATCCCGGTTGATTTGAAAAGTGCGCTAGTAAAGCCCGTATTCAAGGGGGGAGAGCATAAAAAACTTGACAATTATCGACCAATTGCCATTTTGCCCTGTATTGTTCAAATCTTAAAAAAACATATTTTTCAAACTATGACGGCCTTTCTTGATCACTTTAATATTCTGTCGCCCAGTCAATACGGGTTTGTCAACGGACGTGGGACACAGCCATTTTTGGAAGTTTTTGCAGATGAAATGCACCTAGCCTTCGAGAGGCATCAGATTGCTTGCGCACTCTTTATTGATATAGCAAAGGCGTTCGATTTAGTGAGTCACAATATTTTGCTAACAAAATTGCGAAACATTGGATTCCGCGGCCCATTCCTTTCTCTTCTCCGGAATTTTTTAACTGAGAGGACACAGCTAGTTTCTATAGGTAATAGTCGAAGCTCCCGAGTTACCTTAAAGGCTGGGGTTTCCAAGGTTCTCTTTTGTCACCTCTTCTTTTTAACATTTTTGTGAACGATACGTCTGAGTTTAAACATGTAAATTGTTCCAATATGCGGATGACACAGTGTTGCTTTCAAAACATCTTGATTATCCTGTAGCCATCGCATTACTCCAAGAGGACACTTGTCAACTGAATGACTGGTGTAAGACGAATTGTCTTACGATAAATGCATCTAAAGCTCAGCTAGTCTGCTTTCGTAATCCTCTTAAGATGTTAACGCCCAATCATCCTATATATATGCATACCTCTCTTTGTACATCTTGCAGTTGTCCCACATCTTATGTAGATCAAGTTAAATATTTAGGAATTCAATTCGAAAGTGATTTGTCGTGGAATTCTCATCTGTCAAAACTTTGTAAACGACTGAGAAATGTATCTTGTTTACTGTACAATACCAGATCTTTAATACCTTATTCAACGAAAAAGTCAATAGCTCACGCTTTGGCATACAGTGTTTTGCGTTACGGAATAACTATTTTTGGTCACAGCCCCGGGACGATGGGGTCGAAAAATAAACTCAGTCTTAAAAGGAATATTTAAAAGCATGGTTTATGGTTCCATATCGTAAACTGAAGGAGAGATCACAGCAGTCTTGGGCTTGCCATTGTTCCACTCCTTATTGGTTCAGACCGTTGTATTGAAACACTTTTGGTGTGATAATTTCAGAGTACCTCATGTCGTATCTAGATCGCTTCGACACACCGAGCGCTATGAAATGCCTTTTGTAGTGACAAAATACGGAAAAAAAATTCGGAATTTTTATGTTCCCTATATATTTAATAGCCTACCGGACGATGTTTACACTGTGGACTCACTAAACAAACTGAAGCAAATGCTCCGATCTAAAAGCGCAAGTTTTTAACTGTGCTGTGTATGTGCATGTGTTTGTGTGACCATCATCGTTTATATTGTGATGTATGTTGAGCTTGGAAGCTTGCGTATGTGGAAGCTTACGGACGCTCTTTTTTTCACAAACTGTAGGGTCTTGTCCTTCTGGACAGACCCGCCTCACTATGAAGTGAACTACACGCGTAAATAAACATTATTATTATTATTATTATGTTATTATTATTATTATTATTATTATTATTGTTGTTGTTGTTGTATGTGATTCAAACCCAAGGTTTGATGTTCACGAGGGCAAAATGGTTTGCGCATCATTACGAGTGCTTCGCCCTTCTGTGTCGCCTAACTACATACATAATCTGAGAACACCAAAGCTACAGCCGTTACCTCATTTAACGGATAGGACAATAAGCTAATATTTTAACGTGAAACGTTTATTGGCTAGGTTTTAAGATGAAGTGAAGGTACGAAAAGCGTAACCGCGAATTTCCCCGCAAAACTAGCAAGGAAAATGACGTGACATGACTTGATGTCAGGTGATCTACACACTAAATCAGTTTTCCCGCTAAATTTAGCGGGGAAATTGGCACGTGACCGGACGCGAGTTTACCCGCTGAATTTAGATTGGGGAAAAAACGTCACATGGCTTGATGTCACATGACCCACGCACAAATTCGTTTTACCCGCTGATTCGTTCGTGGGTTTAGGATAAGGCTACCAGGGGACGTGTTCCAGAAATGTCTCCATAAACGGAAATTCACTGGACGGTACATCAATGTTTGTTGAATGCCTTAAAACAATCAGCGAGCGCAGCTTCTGATAGTTCATGACCATCTATACTATAGCATTATATGTTTGATCGACGTGCCTTTCCGACCACGGCCCAGGACATTGTCCATCAGTTTCCAGGTGGCGTCGGGTTTTTTTCGTGTGAAGTGAGAAAATTGTTGCCGATAATATATTTTCTTGGCAGTTCTAACTTCCGCGTTCAAATTGTTCCTTGTTTTTTTTGTTTTTCTTTTTGTACTTTTTTAATATTGTGTGCGAAAAAGCGTGATAGCGCTTATATTTGTCTTCTATCAACTTCTTATGTACTGTCGTGAGCGAAGGTTTTCTGCTTTTTTTCGACCGTTTAATCTTTCTGAGAAGGAAACGCACGGCATATATGTTTGTGTAAACCCTGTAATAAAATTAGAGTATGCAATATCTGGATCAGGAATGACAAAGAGGACCAGTTGTGTACGCTCTCATTTTCGAAGGGTTTCAAGGCCTCAGTTACCGTACAGTGCATATCAGATATGCACTGTACGGTAACTGGCCTTTTCTGGACGATTATTTTTAGGACGATTATTTTTTTCCATTTCCACTTGAGTAAACATATAAACAGGACAATGATCACTGATATCTGATATGATAGTGCCAGCGTGAGAGATGATAGTTTCAGTATTTGCAATTTGTAGATCAAGACAGGAATAAGTAGTCGGCGTAACACGTGTTGGTGACTGGAATAGATACATGAAACAAGCGGAGTAGACTACAAATGAGGCGAAAGTTGCTTCTCTTGAGATACTCCACATACAGTTCAAGGAAATTTATAAGATGCGAGACATTCCCGTTAGAAGCCCTGTATACCACAGATACGATTTAAGAGTCGTTTATCAGTGTGAATGTTTTATAACCATCGGTTACCATGAAAACCTTATGAATCATATTCTATCTGCGACCATTTTTAACATAAATGGCACCGCCGCCTTCTCGCCGGTCCGGCTGGTTAATGAAACAATTTCTGTATCCGTGGAGGCTGATCGTATTGCTATTATTATTAAACCATGTTTCGTTCAGCATTATAACATCAAAAGAAGAAGTACATTGGTTCAGAGAGTATCTCATCTTCTTTCTTACTAACGGAACGAGGGTTAAGGTGCAGAAGAGAGATGCGTGACTGGCAGGATAGCTGGAGGTGATAGGGCTGCACAAAATCGGGATATTTCACCGATTCGGGATCTACTTTCTAAACAAAAAACTTCACAAGGAAGAAAGGAAAACCGGGAATAAAAAAGAATAGTTGCCGTTATGTTGCAAACGCCATCAAGATATGTCACCTTTACAGTTGGCGTTTTCCCGGCCTTGCGTGCAAATATGTTACCGTTTCGCACCCAGAGAGACTTCCAGTTTCATTCTTTATTCTTGGCAACAGTTATTCATAGCAATTTTGTTTTAGAGTGGGGAAGAGCAGTTCGGCTCACAAAAACCGAAGCCTCCGACCTCATGCCAGTGTCATCGCAAGTGATTCGCCGTTTCCTGGCATGTCCTAGGAAATAATCCTGCCTGTTTTTGCGCGTGAAATGCACAATAATGTTCTTGGGCGTGCCGTTGGGAACAGGTGGCACACTTCCAGATCGGTTTCCAGTAGTGGCACGTCAATGGCCACTCTTGCGTTTTTAACAATTTCTAGAACGCTTTCATTTTGTTGGAGTGGGCTCCCTCTAATTTCGATGTTTCGATTGCGGCTGTATTGTTCGCCATTTACAAGCAGAATTTCATATTCTCTGACTCGCTCATGTAGTTATGAGAATTCTGATCAAAGTTCATTGTTATCTGCCTTAAAGGGGCCCTGCAAGGATTTTTTTATTGGTTTTTAATTTGCACCGAACCTGAGCGCACTGAACGTAGTAACTTAGTGAAACTTTTCTTTTCTCGAAATTCGCTTTATTTTAAAAGTTATAGGCAAATTAAAATTACAAAAACAAGCAAAAAATAACCTCCCTCATGACGTCCTTAGTTGCTTGGGTGGCCGTGAACTAGAGGAGGGGTAGTGGGCTAATCGCGAGCGCTCACGGATGCCACACTCCGTGTCGACGGCGCGAGAGGGCGCCACTAAAGCATGTTCCGGATAGGCTGTATGCAGCGGGCAGCCAGAGGGGCTCTCATTGCATTTGCTGCGCGTTTAGACACAAATTCGGCATGACACTTCATTGACCATAAGCCACAGCAAACACAACGTAAAGATCAGTTCAGAATGGAAGCCATTTGGCGCTGTCATACCGCGAAACGGCCAAACCGCAAGAAAAAGCTTCTCGCCGAAGGTACCGAAGGCCTTCGGAACGCTCGGTGCCGGTCGGATCCTCCTGTCGATACGACCGCAGCGCCGCCGCGTATGTCCGGGACCTTTCCGTATCGGCGCCTAATCCCACTACTCCTTTCTAGTACGCGCCGCCTTTTCCACCGCTTGGTGGCGGGCATGTCGGCAGGTCATTTCTTTTTTCCTTACTTTACAAACTGCATTCGTTTCTTTTGTGATCTAAACTACTGAAGAAAAGACTACTTTTATAAATAATTGATACGGTTCGCGCCACTTATGTTTTGTATTTCGACTAAATAGAAGCTTTTAGAGGCTCTGACCAGTAGTAAGCCCGGGACCAAAGACGTCATATTTTGCGCGCTTTCGGTACAGCGGGTCGCCCTCGTCGGTGGAGGAGGTTTCCGCGTCGTCCGGTTAAAATATGACCCACTGATATTTAGTTACTCTCTCCGTACCCGCTGGCTAGCCCGAACTTCAGGAGACGTGAAGACCGCAGAAAAGGTAGACGCTTAAATATGATTGCAGGGCCCCTTTAAGCTCCTTATTTTCCTTCATTGTGGTGTTCAGCTGGTCCCTCGTATCCTCAAATGTCTTGATAATTGATTCCATGCCTACATTCACCTCTTATAGTTCTTTTCTGAACTTTCTCTCAATTGAGCTTTTAAATTTTTCGTGTTCCTGCCTTATGTCTCGCTCAATATCTTCACAGAGTTTTGACATTTACAGAGCCTGCCAACTTCCATCATGGAAGGGCTTCCCCCCGACCTAAAGCTCGTGGCTAAACAAGAGCTTGGGGAAACGCCGCAAAGGAGGAGGGATGCTGTGGCACGATTACGGACGCTTGTCCAGGGTAAGTAAAGAGGAAGAAACGGTGCACAGCTTAACATCCCTAGTCCTTGATAACAAAGCAAAAGGGCTGACTAAATTGGCGTCCCCTCTAAGGGGCATCGTGGTACACAGCTTGGGTACGAGCGCTGCGACTCACTAACTGAACACGTGTTCTCACTAACCGATCGCGTGTCCTCAATAAATTGAACAGGTGTTCTCTATAACCGAACACGAATCCCTGCAGAACGCTGGCGCAGGGCTCGCGAACAATATGTGCATCGCGTTGTCGCCTTGAATGAAAAGCTGAAAAATCTTCCTTACGGCCCTACTACCCGTAGGAGGTGTTGGTACACACCCGTTAGAGAAGAAAGGCGGCAAGAACGAGTGCCAAGACGCAAGGATATGAGACTTCTTACAAGACTAATACGCATGATTCATTTTCTCTAGCGTGACGACAAAAGTTTGTGTTAGCTTCAGTTCAAAGGAGGTCGTATATTTGGTATTTCCACATGATTTACCATGAGGAGAGGAAATTCCGGAGCCCAGAACGGACAATTTGAACTTCTCCCTCTTTCGGTAGCCCCAGATTGCGGTGACCCTTTAGAGCTATTTGAGAATGAGACGGCTCGCGAGGCTTGTGGCAATTAGAGAAAACCACCAAGGCGGCGTTGAAACGATGGTACGCGCGTCACCGAGGAGCGTACCATAAGCCACGAAGAGCGAAAATCAGCGAATGCCACGCTGATGCGATCTTTCATGACGTATCAACGCTGGTGATACGATAGCTGGCGATATCGGCGATAAACAGAGCTTTTGGCTACGGAAACAACACCGCGTGCACTCTAAATACGGCGGCACACGGCAATAACCGCGCCAAAAGAGGTGCACGCCAAAATGGTAGCGCTCGGACCGTCTGGCGGCGCGAATGCCAAACCCTACGCGAAGAGTAGACGAAGTTTTCGCTCTCAGTAATTGGAGGGAGACAGCGGAAGACACAAGAGCAGTTTGACTTTCCTTCTATTCACTATCATTACAATCAGAGCTCAGCGCTCTGACATCCACCGCACGCTCTCATCTCCTTTTCTCCTTCATTTGCTCTCCGTGTATACATTCCTGACAGAGGAGCCGGCGCTGCAGTGCCCCCTGGACGAAGAGTTCCTGGTGAAGTTCCTGCGCGGCCGCAAGTACCGCGTGGAAGAAGCCTTCGAGATCATCCGCAAGTATTTCCGGGTCCGGTTGGAATACACGGACATTTTCGATAATCTACTGCCATCACGCATCATGTTTGATGCGATATTCCGCCAACACAAGCTGCTGACTCTTCTCAAGAAACCCGATCCTCAGGGGAGGCGAATAACCCTTTTCAAGCTGGGTAAGTCAGACTCCACGGGAAAAGTTTATTGCCTTGAATCAGCAAAGTGTGAAGCGAAGAAAATATAGAGGAGCGGTGCATACAGTTTTTGATTCCACAAGTTGAGGGCTATTAGCCCCGAAAAGTTCGCGTGGCGCCCCCTTACGGCGAACCGGGGTGACGTCACTGCGAGGAGAGAATTTTTCCCCGGCTCGCCCCGCTCGCCCTGTGGAGGCTGTGACGACGCTAGCTGTCGGCGCGCTCGTTTCTATTTATTTTTTTAGGCGTGTTTTTCGCAGGAAGTGTAAATTTTTTTATGTGCCTTTATTGAGGTATGGCCTGTAGCTACAAACGAAACTTCAAGCAACATTTTAAGCATGGTTGACAGGGCGGCAACGCATATGAAAATAAAGTATGGCCACAATTGCAGGAACATCACTGTAGATTTACATCTCGCACAATAAATGCTCCTGATGGTCTGAATGAAGTGGCAGGTTGTGTATACTATTTTTTTGTATCTTCGTTTTTAAACATGATCGCCGAAGCAGAAAAGCTGCTTCGGCAATCTTGCTTCGGCGATTAGTTGAGGGTATATCAACTGTCAACTAAAGTATAACAAACGTAAGCGAAGGTGTCTAGCTCGTTATTAGTCCCTTGGGCTCTAAAATTGATATTTTACTTAAATCGAATTGTCCTAAAGCTAAAATACCAGAAGCTTTTCTCAAGAGAACTGTCGCACTTCACAGGTTCCACATTTTCTGCTACTAGTGCTGCATCTACCACTGGACAAACGTTCGAATGCTTGCTTTTACTCCTGTTTTTCTCTGTTGTCATAGGGTCCAGGTGTAGGGAGTTTGGAGGCTGAGGAAGCTTTTGGGAACATGCAGCAGTGTCTCTTTTAATTGTAAATGACGATTCAGACTAAACGGTGTATTTTCCGGATACCCAAGACTTGAATAAAGAATTTCCGGAAAAAAGTATAAACATTCTAAATTACGGCACTATTGCTGTGCATATTTTGGGCAGTTCAATACATATCATACAGGCAACTGGGCGCGATTCGGCCGTTTTTGCTGCTACCATACAAAATAATTTCCAGTAATTAGGCATCTTCTAAGAAATATGCCTGCATACGTATATATATATAAATAATTCATAAAGAAACTACATTTATGTAAAACAGCCCTGTTCCACGAGTACTTCAAAGCTAATCGGACACGGGGCCTTTAAAAGATCTGCGAACCAGCGCATGCAGAGTGGCAGCGCAAAGTCGGAGTCGCGAGCTAATTTGCCGACCACCCAAAGGCCCATGATCTAAATGCCACTTCAAATGCCTTGAAAGCAGGATGTAATATCGTCCTAAATCATGAACATGCAAGGAACAGAATTCCATCGTCTGAAATACTTGCGCCTCCGCTTCACCGACCCCTCGCAAGATTGCCTTGTGTCGTGTGGACGGACGGGGAGGTTCATTGGCGGAATTGCCTCCGCCGATTGCTTTCGGGATTTGTAACCCAATTTTAAAAGTAAAAGGGACAAGCAAACTTATAAAATGTACGGAGGCACGTCAATATCGGCCTAACCCGACGTCTTGTACACCGGGTAAATGAAGTCCAACTCCTCGAAGAGCTTGCGGCACACAACGCCAAACCAGGAAACCGGCGCTGGGAAGCGAGCCGATGCGAGATCGCGGAGCGGAGTCCCCCCCCTGACGTCACGGTACACCTCACCCAATCAGGGCGCGGCGACCGCAGCGACGCTTGTGTTCGCTCTCGGGGCTAATACGCGAGCAGCAAATAAATACGTGATTCAGCTGCCAAAAGGATCGGTTGTGCACTCATTGCGGTTTTCTGATCGTTATATGTCTCTATTCCGCCTCTTTGGCTTACCTATGTCATTTTTGTTCAGGTGATTATTTCTAGGGTAGGTATAACAATGTGATAAACTTTTAAAACGGAAACTTCTGGAAATCGACTATGTTGTTCTAGAATTCGGCAGCTCAGCTTTAGAGATTACATGTTTTTCGTAGCAGGTAAAAGTTAGCTTGTAAACTGCCTGCAAATACAGTATTGCTGTTGAAGAAACTGTGCGAAATGAAAACCGCATTCCGTCATACCCCCTGCTCACCATCCAATCAATGGACACGTTTTTGCGTGCGTTAAAATTAGAACGCTTCGCGGCCTGTATTATTTTTGTTACATTTCCTCTAATGCCAAATGGCAAGATGGGGCGTAAATAAAAAAAAATAAATAAAGAATGGGCAACTAGGAACTGTTCAGACGTAAATTATGACTTCGGCTGCAAATTCTTGGCTGAAATTCCGAAGTTTCATCAAGTATCGTCCATTTATTACGGCTCGTTTTTATTTCTGTGTGTCCACAAATAGATTCTACAAGAACCCAAACTTGTTTCCATTTTTGAAAATACAAAAATCAACCAAAAAACCCCCCTCCCCCCCCCCCCCCCCCCAAAAAAAAGAAAAGAAAATAGAAGACAGTCCGATATGGTATTATACCAATTTGGAATGTTAAAAAAAAAGTAAAAAGTAATAAGGTGGTGAACTGGGACCAGTTGCTTGACGTTAGACATGATTTGCAGTAATTTTCCTACCCCTTCCCCCCCCCCCCCCCTTGTTTGTCTGAAGGCAGCCCCCAAAAAATCATTCGCTAAAAAAAAAGGAAAAATAGAGTAATATTTATTTTGCACCAACCATTTATTTTCTTGAGCGCGCTAGCTCAAAGCGGTCCCTGTTGGGAAGGAGATGGAACAGTCACGCCTGCAGCAGTACGCTTCCGCTGTGGTGACAACAAACCGCATTTTCTTGTTACTTTTTTATCCAAGAAATCGAAGATTACGATTCAATGACCTTTCCTCATGCGATCAAAGCACTGGTCAATGCGACGCGCACGTGCCTACATCGTGCTAGGCGAGGTTCAATTTCTCTGTTATGCTGTGTTAAACACCGGGCTGCGAGGACAACAAGCTCGATAAAGCGCTCACTGTAGTTCGATCTTCTGCCCAATATGTAGATAACGACAGAGTGGCATCGGAGCACTAGCCGTTTCGTCGCCTCTCCTCCGCGCTGCTTAGCTCTCGGCTCCTCCTCCTATTACCGTGAAGGAGAGTGATACCCTGACGGATATTTCCTGACGCTGCTTCTTACTCTACTTTGTACTTTCTTAAACAAACTACGCATTCTTCATTAAATGTTTAAACTGTGACGTTGAATGTAGAGCTCGAAAACCTCTGTCGAGTAACACACTTGCATCTGTGTACACACGCTGAAAAAGGAAGTGGAAAAAAACTTGCCTCCTTGTGCCCACCCCCCCCCCCCTTTCCAGACCCCTGGAAATTCAGACACTCCCCCTAATTTCATTTCTTGGGAAACTCCTCATTATGTGAAAACACACCTCAGAACACGCGAACTACAAAAAAGAACTAGCACGACAGGATAATGCTGTACAGCATTGTTCGGTCGTGTTTGTTCTTCGTCGTTGTCCGGGTTTTCTGAGCTGATTTTCTCCAGCATGTTCAAAGATAAAAACTCCTTTTAGCACCTCCTCAAAAAAAAAAAAAAAAAAAATCCAGCAAACACGTTTGACCGATTTGGAAAATCGACTAAGCGGAATTTACACCGAAGGGCAAGGAGATGCACCTGTGTCACCAAGTTGACTACCGTAAAATACCGAGCATGAGCCTCAAGCGCCCCCTCCCATTTTATGAAAATTTAATATTTTGGTGTCCGCAATCTTAAATGTTATTCCCAAACCGAGTAAGGGACCCTTCCCTGTTTTGATTGGATAATCTCTGAATTTGGAGAGGGCGCTTGCTCGGTATTTTACGGTCATACCGTGTTCTTGTAAAAAAAAGTCTGTATATGCCAGGAGGCCCAACCGTGACGTTTTTATGGGCTAAGTTTCGAACTAAGCCCATAGGGAGTACAGCATGTTATTTGTTCTCGTGTTTTCGACAAAAGGCTTCGCTGACCTAGTCAAACTCTACGTCAACAGTCGGCTCAAACCAGGGTGTCTGGCAAATTATTGTTTTGGAATTCTCTGACTTTTCCAGGTTTTCCCTGACAATTTCAGGTGAAATTCCCTGACCACTGTAGAGGCGGTTAAGTATATAAGATCATTACAACAAGGCACTGAGCATTGAGCAGTGCGAGGATTATTTGGCACGGGCTTAATCCAACTTTCATGTTCCAAAATATTGGGGTTCGTTCAGTCCGGATTAAATGGGCCCTTTCTTGCTGCCGACATCGTCAGTGAAGAGACCACTTCCAGAACACGATGACAACGTGACGCAAGACCACAAACGCATTGTTAACAACCGAATGGCAGCATGGCCGCCAAATGGACACTTTCGGATACTTTCGGCTTGGAATGGATTGGGTTCTGCGGCTTTCTCAATTATTACTAAATCTAGTAGCTCTAACTGGATTTAGCCTAGTTCTGCGCCCTAGATCCAATCCAATCCAATCCAAGGCTTGGGCTGGGTTTGTCGGCTGTTCTCTTTGCATCGGGTAGCACTCTACATCGGGTGAGCAGAGCCTACGCTCCACTCTAAGCAGAAATTATTGCCTATTTTTCTGCACCCAAGTCCTCAAGTCTTTGCTCTGGGCACTCGATGGCGTTTCCGCTGGTTTTACCTGACTGGGCTCGATTTTTAACAATATCCCCGACAATTTCCTGATTTTTCTCGGTAATTAAAATTTTCTTGACAATTCTCGATTTTCCCGGTTTTCCCGATCGCTAGGCACCTTGTCAAACTCTCGTTCAACCAGTAATGCACTCAGTGAAAATGAGACCCAGCCTAACGTTGAGGCAAACTTCGTGCTCAATTTGAGCCCCACATTTGATGGCGGAAGATAATAATAATAATAATAATAATAATAAATTTTTATTTTGTTTCATCCCTGAAACGGGGTACCAAGACAAAAAGCTGCTGCAGCAGCTTGACGGAGGTCCTGACCCCCTTTACAGCAGGTGATTCCTGAGCAATTTCAAAAACGAACAAAACGAATGCACGACAAAACTAAAAATGACAAAAAAATGAACGACAAAACGAATCCAGTTCATACGCTTTGTATTGACTCAACACTGAGCTCCGTGGAAGCCAAGCTGGACAAGGCGTCCTCTCTAATTCCACCTCCTCGCCAATCACCGCTTTTCATTTGAACATTCTCTTATACCGAAACCGTCTTGGGGGATCGGTCACCGAATCTGTTCAAGCACCTCAGTTCAGAGCCTGGTGAGAGAAAGCTCGCGCTGGAGGAACCCAGGGCCTGTGTTCAATCACAAACCATGCTCGTTTTGACCTGAATGAGCGTCGTAAAGGCGTGCGGTCGTGTATTATTATATACCGTGATGCACGTTAAAAGCCCCAGGCTAGCTGTCGTACCGCACTCGTCAAATTTCTTCCCTACAGCCGAGACACCAGACACCCATTGGAGCTAACTAACTTCCGGCTGTCTGCACGAACACGCACCGCAATCAAAACGTGTTTCCTCCGTGACCTTGCAGGTGTCTGGAACCCAAGTGTATGCTCACTAAACGAGTTCTATAGAGCTGTCATCGTTGGAGCGGAATACTGTCTGCTGGATCAGCGATTCCAAATTGCAGGCGTCGTGGCGGTGGTTGACCTGGAGGGACTCAACTTTTCTCACCTTCTCCACTACACGCCGAAGGAACTCAGGAAGACTGTCAAGCTGGGCCAGGTGTATCTTCATAGCCTACTTTGAGGATTATAACGCCGTACGCTGTAGTACGGCCATGTTACCGATGAACGCACGCTCAACTATGTATAAACCTCTCCAAATATCGCCTTCTGAGCGCTGCCGTCTTTGTCTGCAGGGCAGCGAAACGCCTTCTGAGCATGCGCTGTAGCTCTATTGCGCGGTATATGAGACGCTGCACATGTGTCCAACGCTCGGTGACTCAACATTTTTCGCCCGGGTGATACACTCTAAAAAAAGTCTGTGCGTCTACTTTCACGCACAACACTCGGAGAACCAATGAGCGCAACTTACGGAAGCATACAGCTCAGCGAATGACAACGGCGAAACATATGTTTAGACCCAAAAACGCAGTCCGAGTTGTGACATTAAGCAATGCAAGCGTGACGTTTTGCATTGCTTAATGTAACAACTGAGACTGCGTTTTTTGGTCTAACATATATTTGGGCATCGTGATTCGCTGAGCTGACTCCGTAAGTTGCGGTGATTGGCTCTCCGAGTTTCGTGCGTGAAAGTAGACGCACAGACTTTTTTAGAGTGTAGGTGCTGAGGTCTACCTTTAACTACGTATCTCTCCGAGTACAACTGCTGATCCGATGGAGCCAATCAAACAACACCAAGAGTGTCTCGTCACGGTACCTGTCGTCTTCGTGAATTTGCCTGTCGTCTTCGTGGAATTGCCATCACTGGCTCAACCAATCACAGACAAACAAAGGGCAGGATCACGGCGCATTTGCTGCGATTTATTAGTCCGTTTCACCTTAGGTCCGAGCGCGGCCGATGTTATGAGCGGAAGGGCCCATCAAACGGCGGAAAAAGCGCAACGTCATGACGTGCTCCTTTCGCTTGATAGGACTAGCCGGCGGACGAGCACGCACAGAGAGACGGCGAACAACGGCTGGTCCTCTTAGGGGCAGAGAACACGCCATGACGTTTGCCTTTTTCGCTTTTTTATTGGCCCTTCGACTTATTACATCGACCGCGCTCGGACCTAAAATGAAACGAAGTATATAAGCATTTTAAAACGCTACTTCCCCACGAAGCTCTTAGAAGAGCCAGTCGCTGCTATCGGGAGCTCCGCCAATGACGAGGCTGCGAATATGATTAGGCCTAAAAAGGAAGAGTCTGCGCTGTGGCACCATCATAATATATTTCGCCTTGCTAAATATGTCAACGTGCAAGCTGCTTACTAGGCTTATGCTCCTCGATTCACTGAGATTCTATCGCGCAGAGAGGTGTATTCCCGTAAAAAAGTAGTTCATAGCATTATAGCTTGTTTCACTCCACGTGACGTTATGTTGCAGTTTTCTTCAAACCAAAGTGTGGTAGTCATGAAAATGATGATTGAAGGATTCTAATATATTTCATAACGAAGGTATGCCGCAGATATCTCACTGGTTCTGAAATATTCTAGGTTCTTCGTCGACGTCCTCATTGCACTTAACCGAGAAAGAAAAAAAAAAAGAGAAGAGGAAGAAACTGAGTGTCTCGATTGACATGAACGCAATGACAAACGAAACTAATGACAACCTCAAACAAGTCTTAATCAAATTGTCGCCATTCATATTACAGGAATGCTACCCACTCAGGATCAAGGGTATCTACTTAGTGAACAATCCTGAAGTATTTCAGCTCCTGTACGCAGTCGTCAAGTTGTTTCTGAACGCGAAGATCATCAAAAGGGTAAGGATTTTTGCACACAACTGTCTGCTGACGCAAGACACGTTGGCGTCATGGCGTATTGAGCCTCGTACAAACCAGCTGCGTGCATAATTCTACAGCGATGCTGTAAATGGCTAGGGTTCCTTGCATTTTTCGCGTGCACTGACTAAAACTCTACGCTCGCACCGCCGCACGCGCCGCACACACGGGTCTTCCCCATATAAAAGATTAGAAGTGAATAACCAAAATGAAGTGTTGATGAACGCGCGTGCAAGATGCCACATGTTTTAGGCTTATGTTTTGGAACAGTTTTTGCTGCCATAGCCTCCTCTATGATGACAAAGCCTGGCAGTTCGCCACGAGAAGCGGCCGTTGAAATTGAACAGGTTGAGCGGCAGAACAACGGATAAGAGGAGAGCTTAAAGTCCATTGATAATATTCGCGTTTACAAGTACCGCCAACCATTGTTGTGGAAACGCGCGAGACATCTGCCACGAGCGGATGTTCCGCCGCCATGCGCTTCCAAGGGCCGTTCATTTCAGTGCTGCGCCGCCATTTGCTTCCAAGGGCCGCTCAAGACACGGGCCTCGTGCACTAGTGTATTTGACGCTACTTACTATGCTCGCACCCCACCGCCCTATCTTTGGCGTCGTTCCAAGCGTTTCCATTTGTTCTAGTTTCCTTTTGTTCTGCCCACCTTGGGGTGACGCATTAAGTGTCTCAATCATTCATCTGGATATGATTATTATCAGTTCTGCTCATACATGAAACGTCCAGCCTTCCAAAGAACGGGTAAAAAGTACAACCACCATGCCACACCTCAGGCCTGTTAATGATCTCGAATGAGTCGTGATTCTTCTCGACATGGAAGGAAGGGTTTGTCACATACTTGGTCTTCAGTTTATGTGAAGCGGTCTGAGACGCTAAAGGGTCTGAATATTTTTGAAATGCTGAGGGGTTTGATGGGCTGAAGGGGTGTGAAGGGCTGAGAGGGTCCATAACAAACCAGGGCTGAATGGTTATTTACAATAGGAAGATGTCAATGTTTCAGAACAAAGCACTTTCTGATTCACAATCTAAGTAATTTTCTGAAACTTTAAATGGGAAAATGGGAGCCGTTACCGGTAGTTGACGCCATCCGTCCTCATATATTCGTGGGCTTCGTCGGCCACTATTTTTTTATTGAAAGTTTCTAAAAATTCCCAATAACTTTTTGAATAAGATAAAGGTTGGCCCTGAAACTTTTGCACATGGTCCAGAACGTTAATGCTATATTTGGACGTATGCTGACTGTTCGACGTTGCGTAGTTTAAATTCGCGGTGAAAGAAAAACATTGTGATGTTCTGTCGGGAAAACCCTGTGTACAATAGTTCTTCATAAATTGGCGATTAAAGAATTCCTGGAGTTTTTGCTCAAGAATTGGGTAGAAAGTGCGCCTCAGACGCCAGCTTTCTGCCTCCAATGGTACTTCGGCGTCCAGTGAACACGCGTAGAGAAAGCAGTTCAGAAGGCAACGAGCACGTTGAGGGTGTTTACCTTGAGCATTTTTAGAGACATGGCAGCAGAGACGAAAATTGCTTACGCGTACGTACCCACTTTTGTCGTTTTTCTTCGGAGTCTGAGCTCAGTCGCGATACCATGAGCTGTTAACCCTCTATTCGCGACTTTTTTTAACACCTCTGAGACAGCACGGCCCTAGCGATGAATTGTCGGGCTCATCTAAAGGAACTCAACGCTGACACGGATTGACCACGAGTGGTGCGCAGTGTTGGTGGTAACGCGTTTCAAGTAACGGCTTTACCGGTATCGCGTTAGTTTCCGGTGCCGTAGCAATGTTTTTCTGGCATTTTTCAAAGCAGTACCGAATAACATATGTTACTCATTTCGAGTAACGGATAACCTAGTTATATTGCCCGTTACCTCTTCTTTCCAATGCTTAAATAATTACGCTTCAATTTTGTTTTTCGTGTTTCTAGGGGCAAAGTTGTATAGGTTCTGGCTCTCATCCCACATGCCTTCATTATTTTGCATCTCTTTTTTCCACGCAAACCCTACCACTTTCTACAAATATGGCGCTAAGCACATCAGCAACGTTGGAGCAGTAAAACTTTTGAAATCGTAAATAAAAAGTAACGAAAACATGCAACGTGCCTTACGTTATTATTGGTAACGGTAGCGCTTTCTTTTTATTTAGAGCTCATGTAGGTCTGTTACGTGTTCTCATTATTTACAAGTAACCAGTAACGAATTTGGTTACTTTTGTTTACTGTAATGCCTTCAACACTAGTACTACAGGGCTCGGCTGGGTCAGCGTTCGGTATGGGACTCATACTCAGTCAGTAGAGAGTTTAATGGAACAGTTTTTGCACGTCAAGTACGGTATCATGGACCCTCCGATACGAACTGTGCATATGCCAGCTTTCTGCTGTAGCGCATGCTCAGTTCTTACCGGAGGGCCCATCGTAGCATGTCGGATGAACAAAAGCGGTTCCCTGACACTCCCTAGTGAGGGCGCATGCTCTAGCCGAACGATGACACAGTAATCGTCTCTAACCTGTGTCCTGCGTTGACACTTTTTAGGTGAGGCCAAACATATATCACGGCATGGGGCCTTGCCATTATTAGGCATTTATTCATATTACAAACTGCCGAACTCAGGACGCAAGCTGACTCGACATTGGGAGGATATTGAAAAATGCAACCCTTTTTTCTATGCCGTCATTTTTTTTTTTTCCTGTAGATCTGATTTAGATATGAAGGGTCGTATTTTTTTCATTTCAGGTTCACTTTATTGGACGCGACTACGACCAGCTTCATAAATTCGTTCCCCGCGAACTGCTGCCCGAAGAATACGGTGGTACCCTGGGCAACTACGACTACGACGAGTTTGAGCGGGCCTTGCTTAACACCGGGACATTTTTTGTGGAGCTCGGCAAACATGGCTACCGGGAGGGGAAAGCGCAGAAAGAGTCGACTGGGCTCTAAACGAGTCAGTTCCCTTAAATACTGCAAGAAAAACAAAAATCTCTGAACGTGTGCGAAAAGGATAGAATTAAAGTTGATTGAGGAAATAAAAATGTGGACACCAGTTTTTGTTTTTGTTTTGTCTTTCACTGGCTTTGTAATCTTTATACCTTTCGATCACTACTGTTCATTCATCTACATATTATAGTCAAATATATGGGGGATCAGTTTCCTTTAAGTGTAAGTAGGAAATTTTTCGGCTTTAACCTAAGTTAACCTAAGACACGTCCGGGGGTGGCAAAAATTGAAAATCGGTTTTAACCGAAAAACACCATTAAACAGCCGTTTGCTGTCAAAAAAAAAATTGGTTAGAACCAAAAAAATGAAAGCTGTTTACAATTACCTGTAACGCCGGTTGGAGCGCAGCTCTTGAGAAGGAGGATGGAAGCGTACTGAGGGATGGGTGACTCCTTGAGGTCACGTGACCTCAGGGGGTCGTGTGACTTCAGAGGGTCACGTGACCACGGGGGAAGGGGGTCACGTGACCTCAGGGAGTCATGTGACTTCCGGGGGATCACGTGACTTCCGGGGGATCACGTGGCCTCGGGGGGTCACGTAACCTCAGGGGTCACGTGACCTTAGGGGGTCACGTGGCCTCAGGCGGTCACGGTACCTCAAGGGGGGTCACGTGACTTCGGGGGTCACGTGACCTCGCGGTTACGACTACGGCGACGCCGACGGCGACGCCGCTCAAGCCGGAAACGGGTCCCTAAGAGGTGCGCTCTAAAACACCAATATATGGAAATGTTTCCTCCAGCGAGGACTGTTCTTGTCAAAGCCCTCATCCCCTAGACCTGCAATCTTAGTTTCTCGTCACATCTTTTCGCCATCTCAACTCACTGTTTTAGCGTCCGTCCGAAGCAGATCAGCAAAAAATACCAATACTTGAAAAAGGAATAAACACAAACTACATCCCCCAATTTATCCAATAAATAAACACCGAAGCGTCTACGGCACTTTTATCTTATAAGGTGCATAGGAAACCAACAGGTGTGTTTACGGAGTTTTTAAATGCATCCCTTGATGTATCGCTGCTGACATAACAGCTGTGTACTGCTGCTGATCGCCACGATCCTGGCGATAGTGCAGCAATAAAGCGGCGCTGGATAGCGCTAATTTCCATTACAGAAAGCTGAATTGCTGATTAAGCTGGTAACGACACCAATGGGAGCCATCGCTTGTCATCAGGGGATGTATGCAAGTCTTCAGGCGGGTTACAAAAAAGTGGACACTGAGACTTCTACGCGTATAATGGTTGCGAATATTTTATCATGTTTTACCACTATTCTTCGGCGTATTTGGCCATCGAAATAAAATCTTGCGAAGCTATTGAACGCTCAGTAAATAAAAGGCACATGCCGGATAGCTCGCGGATGTACTGACCAAACTTTAACTTGTCGCTACTTAAACGATCCATTTATGAAATTAACGTTTCTGTTCGTTGCAGAAGCCATGTCACTTGAGGTTGCCGTAAAATTTTGCTACAAACTGCTCGGAATAAGCGTTTGAAATGTCCCTAAGATGGCTGACATATTAGGCATGTCCTTGCGAATTATGATACTCTCCACACGCCTAAGTTCCGATTACACATGAGAAATTCGCGCACACGCAGAATTTTACACCAAAGGTATTCCGTACGCCTCCTGCTCGGTTCATCTTTACGTGGAAAAGGTTACTTAGGATCGCGACAACAACTATCGAGTTGCCGCAACGCGTTTAAAAGCATAGATATTATTCGCAACTCCAACGGTGTGCGTTAAATACCCTTTGTTTGGTTCCACATTTCAGACGCAAGACCACGCCAGTTTTTGCAGAAAAATTGGCGTGGCCTGGCGTCGAATCCGCACCTTTACCGACTGTGTCGTCGAATCTCTCGAAGCTGGGGATATGATCCCTAAAGTAATAACTTTTGATTTTTGCCAACAAAGCAATCAAGACAACCTTGGGAACCACGTGACTTGGGTGAGTCTTTCATTGAAGAGCTAAAAGTCAGAATTCGTGACCTAGCTGTTTCCTCTATATTATAGCTCAAGCTTCCTGCATCACTGCTGATATGAAGCCTCGAGAAGGCTGTCTTCTTACCAATCATATAGGGGCAGGCGTATTTGTGAACGACGGGCGACACACGACACACGGGATAGGCTGCTCCTCGAGGAGGACGCTGCGATGTCACACATAACAGCGCTGGGCAATATCGCGACGCAAATGTATCGCGATAGTATCTTAGACATACTTTTGAGTATCTGTATCTCCGTATAGAGGTGCACTTGAAAAGCGTTGTTTGTATTTCAGTAGTGAAATACATTTAACATGTATCGCTTCTATAGCAATACTTTGCCACACTTAGGTATCTCGTTATATTTGCTGTCCTTTTTTAGATGAAGTTAAAAGATAAAAAAAACATCTGTTTGGTGCAAATTGCTTCGCAAGTTTTGATATGAACACGCCCTATGACATAATTCATCTCAGCCACCGACATTAAAAAAAAACAACTGTGATTTAAAAAAGGTTATGGGCAAGAATAACAAAATCAGCTCTCACAAAGCCCTCCACTCTTTCCCATTTAGCAGAGAGAGCGCTGTAAAGCAGTTGAGCGAAGAAAAAGCACGGTTCAGTTGTCCAGTCTGCCCACACTATGAATAACTGAGAAGCTTATAATACGACAGTTTGTCAAGCATGTCAAACAGTGTTTACCCTTCTGTAACTATGTGGTTCAAAGGGGGTGACATGTTTTCTTTAGCGGCGTTAATGATAAATAAAGATTTCGAGGTAACAGGAACAGCATAAAATGACACAAAAAAAGAGCAAAAGCATAAATTACCATTCGTATTCGCCACGAACTACATCCTCCCCACCTAGCACCGTTCAGGAACAAATGCATTTCTATAAGTGTCTGCATCTGTCTTCCGGAATACTTTTTCGCCGGCTTTACAGATGTATCTTAGGGATATCCCGTTGCATGAAAGACCAATGTATTTCAGTATCTGTATTTTGGGCCTTAAAACACATGTATCTCAGTACTTGTATTCCCGAACACTTTTTGGAGTATCTCTGCGCAGCCCTGACACATAGCAACGCGCGGGCGCTGCGCCTGCCGGCAGTGGGAATTGCGCGTATATCACTGTGGCGCGTTTTAACCCCCCCCCCCCCTCTTCCCGTTCACGCGCCCCTGTGATACACGCGCAACGTCGCCGCGTAACGGCGTGAACGAGGAGGGGAAGGGGGGGGGGGGGGGGGGGGGCTGGAGTAGTTTGAAACGCGTCCCAGTGATACACACGCAACGCCGGCCGGCTGGCCGGCTCAGCAACCTCGGGTTGCTATGTGTGATGACACAGCGTCCTTGGCAGGGCAGCCAATCCGGCGTGAGCGCCGTTGCCATGCCGTGTGTCGCCCACCATTTTCAAGTACGCAGCAGGGGGCTGTGCACTACGTGCTGTGGGACGGTCGTACTATCCCGCAGTCCCTTGGTGAAGCACATCTGGCGTGATAAAATGGTCTGTGTTAGGACCGCTTCTCTTTTTCATTTATATTAGTGATATTTCCCGAAGAATCGAATCGAAAATACGTCTATTTGCCGATGATTGTGACTGTGCGGTGTCTGGTAAAACCGATTCTACATAGCTTATGAGAGATCTTAAAAGAATTGAATCATAGTGTTGTAACAATATGATGTGTGTTCATGTGTGCTTCACAATAAAGCATAATAAATTGACTCATCAGTAGTCCATTAAGAATGAAAACATTAGAATGGAACCATATTATAAATATTTAGGTGTTATACTTGCCGAGGACTGTACATGGACAGAGCAAGTGAACAGTGTCGTTTCCAGGGCCCAGGCGGGGCTATCCAAAAGATAATTTAGGAATCTGTGCCCATGCACGGTATTAGCAGGGGGATCGGTGGCCGAGTGAGCTAGCGCACCCGTGCATCGCTACTGCTTGATGGACGTCAAAGGCACCAGGCTAGCGGTTGTACTGCACTGGCTAAATTTCTCATCTACAGCTGACATTCTAGACGCCCATTGTGGCTGACTAACTTCCGGCTGCATAAACTTACACACAACAATATTATTTATTATTTACGCCCGTGGTTTATGGCCTCTTGTCCTTTTCAACACAGAATGCGTTATGAAGCTGGGTATTGTGATAAAAGCGACACCTTACGCTCCAGCGTTACGCTCGACCGACACAGATGTCAAGGTCATATGAGCAATATAGACTCGTAGGAGGTATAGCGCTTACATGAGTTCGACGTCAGAGTGTCGCGCATTACCCTGACGTCACATGACAACGTGATTTCATGTTACTCTTTGATTTACGTCACACCTTGCAGTCACGTGACTTGACCTCAAGTTCGGTTGTCATGTCATCTTAACAGTGCCACGTTACGCCATGAGTTCACGTAACGGTGACGTCATGTGATCTTATGAGGTCACACTCACACGTCGTGTGCCCAGCTTATTTGCAAGACATTCTGTGGGTCTTCAAATTGTATGAGACATGATCAAAGACGTGCTTACAATTTTTGAAAGGCAGTCAGTGGGTGTGTTCACTACGCATCGGAGTCTCGGTGAACGGAATCAAGTCGCCAAAGATAACGTGTAACCCAGATCGTGAATGGGCAACGAAGGGTTGCTGCGAACACTTGACATGGAGATGGGGGAGGGAAAGGCTTATTTTATTTGCGCTGCGAGTGAAGTTAAAAGCATTGGACATCCGAGGTCCGAACTACATCCGTTTTCTGTTAGACTCTGTACTTTATTTCGAATGAACTTAAAAAACGACGAAAGGTGCACTGACGAAAAAGGTCATCGCACTACAGGTGTTCACTCCGGCGGTCTATTGTCACGTGCCCCACTCAGACACTTTATTAACTCATTGGGGCCACTATAAGTGTGTCGTGTCTATGTTTAGACAGTGGCGTGTCCGTCTGAGTGGGCGTCTTGCGTCTCCGCTGTAGA